ATATATATATATATAAAAAGAGAAAAGAAAAAATGAAAAAAAAAAAAAAATTGTTGACTAACATCGAAGTGACCTAATCGTGATCTCAATAAATATTCATATTTCAGCGCTCGCTCTCTGCTTAGTATGTGTATAATACTTATAAATTATTAAACTGTAACAAGATTTTACCTTCCGATATTTTTTTAACCGTTTTTCCTTTGCTCTCTCTCTCTCTCTCTTTCTCTTTCTCTCTCGCTCTATTTCTTATATATTTATTTTATTTTTTCCCTACAATTACTGCCATGATACGGCACACGCTCCGAGCCGATTAGTTAGCTAGAAAAACGCGTACAAAATAGGAATGTAACACGTGGTTCGCTCGAGGTGAAAAAAATTCAGGTTTATGTTTTTCTTTTTCTTTTTTTTTTTCGGCATTTCAAATCGTGACCTTATTTATTATATTATTCTATTACTATTATTACTATTTTTATTATTATTATTATTATTATTATTATTATTATTATATTATTATTATTATTATTACGACGAATCGGGAAACCACTTTGCCGGCGTTATTATTTTTATAAAATGTTTAGTCATCTTCGTCTTGGCACAGAAATTCAACTTAATCAACATATCTTTTTGCTCTCTCTCTCTCTCATTTTCGCTCGCGCGCGCGCTCTCTTTACCTTTCTTTTATTTTTTTTTTTTTTTCTAAGCGTTAAATGTTAATAGATTTGGACAGGTTCTAAACAGTAATACTACCGACTTATATAATAATCATTTAAAATTATGTCGATAATTATTACAAGTCATCGAAATGTGGTGTCCATCCTCCTCACCCCCCCACCTCACGTCCATCCCCGTCTGCCCAATTCTGCACAAATACCCGCGAAATTTTCAATTGGATTAGAAGCTTACGACTTCTATTGAGGATATTGTTTTCAGATATATGTGATGTAAATTGTATATAAATCATGGAACAAACGGAAGGAAAAAGTTTTGATAAAAAGGGTGGAAAAAGAGAGAAAAAAAATGTAAGATAAAAAAGGAGACAACACGAAAAAAAACATACGCGTTATTCCGTAAATGATTTTTTTTTCTTCTTTTTTCTTTCCTTACTTTTCTTTTTCTTCTTTTTTTCCTTTTCTTTTTTTTTTCTTTTTGCTTTTTCATTTTCTTTGTTTCTTTAAATACAATCGACGATCGATTAACGATGATATTAATAAACGATATATAATAATACTCGAAGAAACTTATTCGACACAAACGAACTCGAGTACTATGAAAAGGGCCTAAACTAACGATGCTATTGCTATTGCTGTTGCTGTTGTAGTTGATGTTGCTGCTGCTGTTGCTGCTGCTCACGTAAAAAGCGCGACTTTTTTTTTTTTTTTTTTTTTTTTGTTGTCACGTATATAAGTAAATACATACGTACGTAAATACATACAAACATACATTTATTTAAAGAACGTATTCCTTTTGAAATCCTCTTTCATTCATTCTTTTTTTCTTCTTCCTTTTTTTTTTTGTACAAGAGTAAACGCATTTACTCGTAAAAGAGTCGAACGTAGAAGAGTTGACGTAATCGTAATCCCGTGCTCCAGACAGGGTTTCGATTTTATTTTTATTTTTTTTTGTTTTTTTCGTCTTAAATCTCTCGAAATATTCATCTGATTCGTCAAACGAAATTCTATTCAACTCTCGATAACCTCCTTCGTGACAGGAAAAAAATATATGGAAAATACCATGATTAATTTATGACGATAAACTTATCTTTTCTATAAGACAATTAGTTCATTGATCTTTTACTATAATGTCAATGCTAAGGCATTGAACTTCTCTTTGCATTATATATATATATATATTGTTCGCACGCGTATGTATATATGTATGTGTATATATATATATAAATATATATATATATATAGCGTTGGATCCAAAATCAACTTTCTTGTAAATTCACGCCTGGTCACCTACTTTCAAAGTGCAAACAATTTTTTTTATTTGATTATCGAGTATATATAATACGCTCTCTCTCTCTTCATCTATAATGGCCGTCATTTACGAAAGAAATGCTAATTGGAGTTTGGCTGTTATAAAAACGCACGTGATAGATTACGATTACATCATGAATATATATATAATATATAATAAAAATTTTTGTTATCGAATATCATTTTTTTGTTTTGTTTTATTTGTCCTCTAATTATGCTGCTCCCTTTTTTTTTTTTTAATTTTAACTTTCATTTATCGGACATTACGCGATATCGGACATTATGAATATGTTATTAATTTGATAGTTGCGTGGTTTTGTATTCTCACTCAAGCTTCATTATCATTATTATTATTTATTATTATTATTATTTATTATTATTATTTTGCTTTATCAATTTCAAAGCACAAAAAACACGCCGAAGTGATTCTTTTCGTATAGACAGATATTTCTCGCGTTTGAAGTCAAATAAAATTTTGTTTTCTTTTTTTTTTCTTTTCTTTTCTTTTTTCTTCTTACATTATTTCTTTCAGAATACCGATTTTCTTTTGCATCGTCATTTAATATGTACCAAAAAATAATAAATATTTACGAACAAAATATTTATTAATTCAGAAGAAAAAAAAAAAAAAAAAAAAAAAAGAAAAAAGATGAACATTGTAATATATGTTAAATATAAACAATATAAATATTTCAATATTTATTATTATATTATTGCGTAAATATGTTTATTATTAATGATCGAAGTAGCAAAAAAAATGATCAAATCTACGATGGTTTTTCGTTATAAAAAAAAAAAAAAAAAAAAAAAAAAATGATCGTCGTTACTCGGAAACTGAATATGTGAGCAGTACAAAGCGGCAAGAAAAAAATTATATAAAAATAAAAAATAAAAAAAAAAAAAAAAAGAAAATCGTTTTACTTAACCTCAAAACGCATATACGCATATCCAGTCTAATTTGACATTATCTAATTTGCACGATACAATTGAGGCTCGATTTGAGATTAAGCACCATGCACGGTACGATTAATTTTACGAGATTAAGCATTTATATTATTTTGTCGTTGATTTTTCTTTTCTTTTTTTTTCTTTTCTTCTTTTTGATATCGTAAATTATTCCATATCCTATATTTAATATGGGTATGATTATTATAATATATGTATACATTTTTATACAATTTCATTTTCATTCTTGTGAAAAATCTTTATGATCGAAGAGAAAAGAATCTTTCATAAAATCACTCTGCACCAGTATTGAACGCTTTTCTAATTCTTTCTAAACACGTCAGTCTGTGAAATAAAAACGTTATATTTAATATTCAAAATGTACTTTCTTCAAATTTTCATTATAAAAATTTTTGGAGAAAACAATAGAAAAAAAAATAAAAAAAATACAAAAAAATAAAAACATAAAATAAAAAAAAAAAAAAAAAAAAGAAATAATAAAGGGAATCTTTGAAATTTAATATGAAAATGTCGGTATAAGTTTCCTGTAAAGGACTCTATCCAAGATCGATGCAATTCGATCTTAATTTGAACCATATTCATGGATATATATATATATATATATATATATATATATATATATATATATATATATATATATATCATTCTTTTACAATACTTCGTGTAAGCGATTAATAAAGGTCCATATATAATTTGCGCTAATGTTATAAAGTTTTATATGAGGATATTAATGAGAAAATGATGTGTGTGTGTGTGTGTGTGTGTATGTATGTGTGTGATGTTTGATTGAGTTCATTATGAATCTCTTGTGAATTTCTGTAATAAAATAAATTCATTGGCTGGGATGAAAATGTTATCTCATCGCCACTGTGTAAACAGGAACACCATTGTACGATTTGGAAAGAAGCAGCACCTCACTGTGCCTTCCCCAGATTTCTTTTTTTTTATTTTTTTTTTTTTTTTTTTATTTTTTTTTCATGTTATTAGAACAGGCCCTTCTTCTTGTTTTTCTTGTCCTTCCCATCCACAGCCCTGAAAGAAAAATTTAAATGTTAAGGAAATATTAATCTGTGAATTATATGTATTTCATTATAACTCTGATCGACATTGTTTACTTATTTCAAGTATGATTCAGATTTTAAGATTTTGCTGTATGATTATCGATAGTATATAATTATACATGTGTGACATTATTTTTCTTTTTTTTTTTGTTGCAAAATAATAATCAATATATCTTAAATTTATTCTAATCGATTTATTGAATATCTTTTATCATCATATAAATAGCTTCTTCAAAAATATTTGCCATTAATGAAAATATTTTTATTTCCGACAAGCAACAATTATCGTATTAATACAATCATTTGCAAAATCTAAACATACTGAGATCATGCTTCATCAACTATATGGGCCATTTTCCAAAAGGCACATATATTAATTGTATGTTATGTTATGTTATGTATATACATATATATATATATATATATATATATATATATATATATGTATATATTATATTATAATATTAATAGTGACTTTATATTTAATAAATTAAGATTTCATTTCAAGTATTTTATCGATGCGTACGAATTATACAATATTAGAAATGCATATAATCCATAGAAATAGATTAATGATGTGTTTAATGTATGTATGTATGTAGGTATGTAGATATGTATGTAGATTTGTATGTATGTATGTATGTTGATATGTATTTTTATATTGTGAAATCAAACTTTCAAGGTTTAGGTCAAAGTTTAATACATATTTGTAGGAGTATAAATTACACATACACACACACACACATGCATACATATATATATATATATATATATATATATATATATATATATAAAATAATAAAATAACAAAATAATAAAAGAAACTGACTCTTAATATTAAACAAAAATTATAAGCCAGGTTTAATTTTCAAACAAACATTAATAATCTGGGAACAATAATTGTAATGCATATTAGAATATGGCTATAGCATTTCTCATGTCGCTCACACAAAAATAGGCTAAAAAATGAGGGTGAAAATTGTTAGTAAATATCTTAAGAAAGCATTACTTTTTATTTGCGAAACAAGTTTTAACGATGAAATTAACAATGTATTTTATCATTTTTTGATTAATTATTTGTAGTGTGTATTCACCTCTGCCAAGCTGTCTCTCAGACAATAAAAAATTGCTTTACAATATAATAAGCATTTAAAAAAAATTTTGAAGTACTATCCAATGAAAAAATACTTTCTGATGCACGAAAGGACAGCTTGCTCAGAGTTTACAACTCTTTGTTATTTTATGAATTATATGAAAAATTAATTATCTACGAACAAAAAATATCTATTTCTTTTTTTTTTTTTTTTTTTTTTTTTTCTTGTTTTTAAGTAGAAAATGGATATTAAGTAGAAACTGGAAGTACAAAGCTCTCTTATACATTTCTTGGATATCAAATATTGTGCCAAAAATACACAGTTATATTCTTACATCTAAATATGATAATTCATACAATTAAATTAATTTAAGTGTTATCAATGAAATTTTCTTCGTATAATAATCCTTTTCGAACACGACGATAACTTCTTTTGTAATGTGAGAATAACATTTTTATATGTATGCATGATATATAGCAACCATGTAACATTTAACGCAGTACAATGAGATTATGCAGCTATGTCCTCTCTTGCAACTAAAACTAAAATGAGCACTAAATAACGTTTAGTTATTTATCAGTCTGTTTCTCAGTAAGTTATGTTAATTGAATAGTAGTTGAGTTAATAAAATTTTTATAACAATATTCATTTTAAGGCAATTCTAACTATTATTTCAAACGAAAGAAGAGTTTGTGATATTTAATTTTATGTTTACATATGAAATGGTGCAAAAAAAAAAAAAAATAAAATAAAATGATATAAGATATAATCTGGCACATACATCTGACTCTTAAATTGTGTTTGATATAATTGTGTTTCTCAGTTAAATATATGTATATTCAACTTTGTCATAATGAATGTGTTAAATGATACGTGTCAGGTATGTAAAATTAAAATGAATGACATAAAAGATATTCATAGTTTGATTTAATTTAACTTAGTTCATTCGCATCATTAGGGATGGATATCTGACTAATCGATATATTTTTTTTTGTGTTATTTCTTGTCTTTTTTGTTTTTTTTTGTTTTGTTTTTTTTTTTTTTTTTTTTTTTTTTTTTTGTTTAATCAGGATGCTGTATGACAAGCTGTATCTGTGTGGGGCTCTCTTGAGGTGATTTGAAACTGGTATGACGGCGAAGAAGACTTCCTATCCCTCGGGAACCCCTCAACGTACCCCCTCCACCTCCAGATCCCTCGGACGACACCGATCCCGTCCTAAATTAAGGACACCCCGATATCGTATACACACAACAAACAGACAAGCGCAGGCATGACATAACATTCATCTGGAAAGCTTTTTAGGAACGAATTTGTGTATATAACTTAAGTTACTGTTTGTTGCATATAGTATATGAACTCTAAGATAGAGATATTCAATATAAATCTGCTTTTCTAAAAATACCTATGTACACATGTTAAAAAAATTTAATAAGAAAAGGAAGGAAAAGAAAAGAAAAGAAAAGAAAAGAAAAGAAAAGAAAAGAAAAAAAGAAAAAAGATTATTGCTGTAATATTATAAGCAGTACACTTTTCTTTTTAAGTGCAATTATTTATAAATGATATGTTGACATTAATGCTATGCTATGCAAATAATAATTAGTAGATATTCTGGAAAGGCAAAAAATGTTATTTAATTGTAAACATTTGTTATCATATTAAACACCTTTGTAACAATAATTCTTTTGAAAATGTGCTCATTCAGTTTAATTTTGAATTATTCTAATTATTTAAATATATTTAATTAAAATAAAGATGGTGTAACGGATATAATGTTGAATATTAAATCACACTTAATATGTATACTCTATCACATTACTTGCCTTTTGTAAAATCGGAAAAATCTGCTGCATGCATTATAAAGAAAGAAAAGAATAAGATATACATGAACATTGTGAAACTATTCAATATAGATAAATTATTTAATTTGATACTATATTCTAGTTTTGTACAAGAATTAAAATTCTTTATATATACATATATATATATATATACATATACATATACATATATATATATATATAAATATACAAAAAAAAAGAGATAAATAAATAAATAAATAGAATACTATATTATTCTATATTACAAGTAAATATACAACAAACATAAATTTTAGATGACAAATATGTGCAATTTACTATGCTATTTTGTGAGAGTAGATAAATGTGAAATTAAAATAAGTTAAAGGGTTAAAATGTGCGAACAATTTGATATTTTTTCTATTTTATATATCAAGCAGACAAAGCTTGTGATTTGGTAGCTGATATACATGAAGCACTAATAATTACATTTATGAAAAGCACTATATATCAATTTGTTATTTAAACAAATTATTCATTAACGAAAATGTATTGCATTACTATCTTACATAATCTTGTATATGCCATCATATCAAATTCCTCAGTCTCCCCACCCCCCAAAAAAAGAAATAAATAAAAATAAAATCTACTTAAAAATTATATGTTGCAGATGATGTATAGAACGATAAAAGTATATTTTATGCTACAAAAATAAACATTTTTATAAATCGTAATATAAAATTTCATAGCATTAGCATTGAGATCAACAATTCATTATATTCGTGTTATACAAATGAGAATTTATGAATTTTCTAATATAAACGTATTTGTAATACGTTTTCTTGTTATTAAGCGTAAATAACAGACAATATCTCAAGCAATTAATTTTAATAAGAATACATAAGAATATATATAGCAAAATCTACTATAATTTATTTAGCCATTTCCTGTTATTAATTAATTGCCTATACAAATACTTTTTACTTATAGAAAGTAACTATACACATTATTAATATAACTTCGTATATATTAATAAATATTATGATAAAAAAAGAAGAGAAAAAAAAAAAAAAAATTAGAAATGATGTAACACATTAAGTAATATGCACTTAGGATCATTAAGTTTATCATTCTTTTTTTTATATTTTTATTTTTATATACCCTATTTCTAATTGTATATGAAGAATTAAAAATTAAATCAATTTCTCCTTTGCGACACGAATGGCAGATTGTTTTTGATATATAATACAATAAAAGGATGGATAAGTGTAATCAAAGCAGTAACTTTGTGTATAAAAATGAAAAAATAAAAATAAAACGTTGATAATTCAATACAAAATGGTCAAAAGCATTTTATTGTTAATAAATAAATTCACACTTACTCTTTTGAGTTGGCTTCTAAACTGCGCCTACGTAATTCTTCAATACTGTGACCGGTCTGTTGTTCCCATGCTAATTTTTCTGCTTCAAATGCACGTCTTTTCTCTTCTAATTCGCGAACTTGTTGTTCTAAAGAGCGCCGCATTTGTTCATGCCGTCTCTGTAACTGTAGTCGATATTTATGTATTATAACATGATACAATTTTAAAAAGAACAAAATTATAAAAATAAAAAGAAAAAAAAATGGAAAAAAAAGAAAAAAAAAAAAAATCATAAAAACAAATGATAATACTTACATCGGCCTCTGAATCTTTAAGTTTCTGTTTCTTTTCACGAACTTTCATTTCGAATACTTGTTCCATTTCAATTTCCATCTTCTTCATTTTATTATCGTGTTCTCTTTTCTCTTCCTCCAATTGAGCCAAAGGATTCCTATAATAAAAAAGCAAAAAGAAAAAAAGAATAAATAAATAAAACAATTTTACACGCACCATCGAACATAATTATCAAAATATAAATTATAATTACATCTACGAGAAATAGTTTTCTTTATTTGTACATAAAATCGTACTAATACATTGTTAGTTTACAGGCATATATATATATATGTGTACGAGAATAATATTCATGTAGGAAATATATACTAGCGTAAAGTTTCTGTAATATCATTGTGAAAAAAAAAAAAAAAAAATATATATATATATATATATATGCATATATATATATGTTCCTAATATTTCTTTGAAATATTGTATAGATTTACGAACGAGACATTACAGAGGGGGGGGATAGTAGTGCTGTGCCATTTCAATGATGAAAAAAACTAAATAAATAGCCACTAAAAGAAGATAAAAATAAAGCAGCAAGCAATCTGTTATTTATATATTTAGGTATATATCAATGCGAGGTTTCATAAAAAACTAATAAAATAAAAACAATTCTTTTTTCTTTTCTTTTCTTTTTTTTTTCTTATTTCAAATATTCCTGGTTCCTTTTATCTACACTTTTCTTGGAACTTACTAAATTTCACAATTATTTATAATGCGTTACTTGCAATAACTAATATTGTTACAGAGGGCTCACTACTCTATCAAATGTAAGATACAATATATCATTTTATTGTTATCATTTTATTGTTAATAATAATAGTTCGTATTTGAAATATCATGTTTGTTCGACTTTTTTATTTTTTTTTTATCATCGATAGACAATATTAATTCTTTCGATTTCTCGATGCAGTGAACCCTCCTTTTTTTTTCTTTTTTTTTTTTCTTTTTTTTTTTGTTTCTTTTAGCATGACATGATTTCTGATACTAAGAACTAGCAAATAGAAATTCGACAAGGCTTGTGCACACAAAACCATAGTACATGACCTCAGCCTTATTAAAGGACTTACCACACTGTCATGAAACTGTTCATCACTCCTGGTGGGCACAAACTAACCAATAAGAAATCAATATTAAAATTCATCTATTAAGAATGCAGTTAAAAAAGTTTTGTCTTTATCACGGATGTTCTCTTTTTTCCTCTAAATCTTTTGCCGCCTACAGTGCGATTTCTTTTTTTTTCTCCCTTTTTTTCTATTCTTTTTTCTTTTTTTCTTTTCTTTTTTGTCAAAAATCATTTACATTACGTTAATTATATATATAATATATATATAAATGTATATTATCTCTCTTACTTTTCAGTAGTTTGCATGCACAAGCTTTTTCCATTGGTATTTTGGGAAAAAGAAGAAAACAATCATAAATGTTAAAAAAAAAAAAAAACAGAATGATCAAACATAAAAGTAAGGAGATTATAATTCCCTCCTACTACTTAACAGGTTGTAAATAAATAAATAATTAATCTATATCGCTCCATTCAAATTCTTAATTTAATTCTTAACGTGTTATACTTTAAATGCCTGCATCTTGTTATTAATTGATTATATAAATTCATCATTTAATTTTCATTGCCTCTCATCTTATATGTATATGTGTACGTAGAAAAGAAATCAAAAATTTCGTTTGAAATAACGACGAACGTGTGTATAATATAAAGATATTAAAACATAATAATTTGTAAAAATATATACTTTTGTACGTACTTATTGGAAATTTTAGTCGGTTTTCCATCTACACCAAGACCGGCCAAAGTCCGACATCGAAAGTTCTCATAATGTATATTATTTGTAACATCTTGTAAATCTTGCAGATGCGTTCGAATGATCATATCTCGTAGAGCTATGAAGTCGCAATGGTCTAGATTCTCAACTGAAAAAAAAAAGGTAACGATTAAAGATAACAATTTCACAAATATATATTTCTAGATATTAATATCATTTTAAAATGGCAATGATATGAATTATACATATAATAATAATAATAATAATAATAATAATAATAATAATAATAATAATAATAATAATAATAATAATAATTATTATTATTATTATTGTTTGTTTGTTTTTTGTTTTATTTTTTCATATACCTTCAGCAATACCCCATGGATAATTTCTTCCACGTACTTTCTTTCCATCGTGTTCGACTACAGTATTCGCCCCAACAACAGCGAATGGGACTCTATCCCTTAAAACTTTATCGAACTTACTATCCTCTTCGTATTCCTCTTCTGGGAATTCATAGATTTTGATTTTGTGTTGCGCAATTTCATTTAATATCTAAACAAAAAAAAACAAGAAAAATAAATAAGATGACTGAAGGAAAAAAAAACAATAGAAAAAGAACAGACCTTTTAAAAAATTCAATATATTATACACACACACACACACACACACACACACACGTTATATATTTAAATTGACAATTATTATTTTATAAGAATATATATATATATTTTTTTTTTTTCATTTACTTACTTTTTTTTTAAAATAAGCACGCTCGTCAGGAGTCATCGTATCGGCCTTCGCAATAACAGGTATTATATTGACTTTGTCGTGAAGGCGCTGCATGAACTCAACATCGAGCGGCGTCAGGTCGTGACCCGAGGGCGCGATGAAATAAAGACAACAGTGTACTCGACTGTCGGGTATTTGCCGTCTCGTTACGCGAGACTCGGCATTCAGGAACTCCTCGTATTTCGACTCAATGTATTCTATAACTGGAACCCAACTGAAGCAAATGATATATACATATATATATATATATATATATATATATATATATATATATATTTACATATAAAATATATATATATATTTTAATCATTGAAATTAATAAACGAGCAAATATATGTATATGTATACTAAATGAGACAACAATCTATCATATAAATTTTTAATAATTTTCTAAATTATGAACAATATGAAAAATTATTTTATATGCAATTTTAATGACATAGAATAAAATTTTTTTTTTATAGTTTTATATATATATATATATATATATATAATATAAAATAATCATTTGTTCCTTTATAATTTAATTTACATTATAATATACGCTGTATTTGTTTTACATTTATATTTGCATAATATCAATTTGATGATTGGATTTTATTATTAAAAATATCAATGTTTACTTGATCTCTGATTGAACTCTGTTTATTTTTCAACTCAATAGTAATTATATTAAAAGTTAAATTTAATTTCTATGCAAAATGATTTCTTAATAAATTCATAATTTCGTTTTTTTTTTCTTTTTTTTTTTTAATGTGCACGGTTTTAAATTGTCACATTTTTATTTTTTTTTAAGTATGAGTTTTAAAAACAGCATCGATTTTTTTCCCATGCAATATACAATAGGTGAAGAATAAAAATAAATAAAGCACAAATTACCAATTACTATTGTCGATCGCATCGCCAAATCCAGGCGTATCGACCACTGTCAATGTAAGATTTACCCCATTTTCTTTCAGCAACACTTTGGTCGTTTCCACAGCTACTGTTTTCTTTACCCTGAGGCTAGGTCCTGGATATTCCGCGCTGTATATGTCGGCCAAAAACATGGAGTTTATAAAAGTTGATTTTCCTAGTCCGGATCGACCTAAGTGAAAGAAATAAAGAAAGAAAACAAAGAAAGAATGAATGAATGAATGTAAGGAAAAAAAAAAAAAAAAAATTTTAAATACTACAATTGAATTTTTTTCACGAAAGTATTCATAATTTTTGTTAAATGTCTTTTTCTTTTTTCACATTTTGCTCTTTTATACGATATGTTGGGTTTAATAATAATAATAATAATAATAATAATAATAATAATAATAATAATAATAATAATAATAATAATAATAATAACAATAATAATAATAATAATAATAATAATAATAATAATAATAATAATAATAAAAATAATAGTAATAATAATAATAATAATAATAATAATAATAATAATAATAATAATAATAATAATAATAAAAAGGTACAAAGAGATCGATCACAAATTTGTATTTAATCCAATGTATATTATTATAGTATGCGTATTAATATTATCCTTGCATTTGCAAACCTTGAACCAGTACCAGTGGTCATTCTCAAGGGTACGTACTTGAATTGCTTTATTTACGGAGAATGACTCCGTTTATACCGATCCTATTAATAGCAGAGTTACTCCGCCCATATTCTCAAATTTCTAGCTTTTATTTTGAACGGGGGAATTCTCATATATATTTATACATATATATGTCTATATACATCATAATATATATATATATATATATATATATATATATATATATATGTAGGTGTATATATCGTGAAGATGCTTTGTTCTTCCAGAGGAACATAATGATGCACCATAGCGCGCGCGCGTACCAAAAAAAAAATATCCCTAAAATTTAGAAAGTCAAAAGTGAGTCATGGAAAAAGGAGAGTCTACTCAAGTATTCTCAATCAACGATGAAATTACGAATTTCGTCAACTCTAGAGTGAGTCTTCGTATCTCAATGGACTCGAGATTTCAAGCCAAGAAATTTGAGAACCACTGAGAACAGCGGCAAGCCTAATCCAGCTGCGCTTCGGGATATATATATATATATATATATATATATATGTGTGTGTGTGTGTGTATATATGTACGTAGATGCAAGCCGGCACTGCACGTGTCGAGCAGATGAGAAAGTTTTATAAAAACGATATATATATATATATTTTTTTTTTTTGACCGGAATTAAAACAGCAGTGTAGTAGCTTAGAGAAGAGAAATGGATAAAAACCACAGAGAAAAGAAAAATGGCCTTTCTTTTGTCTTTCGATCTCTTTGAACCTCGAGAGTAGAAGAGAGACGTTCGTTGTCCTTTCGGCTGAAGGCGGCAATGTACGTTTAATTGAGTACAAACGAAACGATCCCTTCTTCGTTTTCAAGACCCTGATGCGATATATTATATGTCTCATGCATGCAAGTGTTATATATATAACTTCGTAATAATGTTCATAAAAGCTCATATTCTCAAAAGTGTCGGAAAAGATCAATTTTAATAGAGACAGAGAGAGAAAGAGAGAGAGAAAAAAAATGAAAAAGAAAAGAAAGCATTGTTGTGAGAGAGAGGTAAATGAACCGAGATGTCGTAGCGTGTCGGTAAAGCAGAGCCATTTTTTCCTTTCCTTGTTTTCTTCTTTACCGACAGTGTCTCATTCAGGAAGATAAGGTAGAAAATTACTTTAACAAAAGAGAAAAAAGAAAAAGAGAAGAAAAAGGAAATAGAAAATAAGAAGGGAAAAAAAAAGAAAATGACAATATACGAACCAACAACCATAATGGTAAAGTCAAATCCCTTCTTAACGGCCTTCCTATAGACCTGGTTAGGTAAATTGGCGAAGCCAACGTAACCGTCAAGTTCCTTTGACTTTGTTAACGGTTGAAGCGGCCGATGATGTATAGCGTTAGATGATGAATCCTTAGAATCGTTGTTGCTCCTTGCCGATTCTCTTTTGTTGCTATCCTCGGAAGGATCATTGTTCTGATTGAGTATCAGGGCCGAGGCCGAGGTATGATTGGGATTGTTGCCTGAGGTTGTCGTGGACGACGACGACGATGTGGAGGTGGAGGTCGAGGAGGATGAGAGAGGCAAACGCATCTTCGCCGTTGGCGGTATAGAAGAGCTCGTCGCATGACTCGCATGACTTGCGTTAACACCACCAGTGTAAATGCTTGCCGTCGTGCTCAAAGAAGACGAGGATGAGGAGGATATGGAAGATGTCGATTGGACCGATGTACTGCTGTTGTTGTTATTGTTGTTATTATTGTTATTGCTACTGTTGACGTTGGAACTAGTTGAATTAACAAGATTCGTTGTGCCACTGCTGTTGTTAGTTGTCGTCGTACTGATGCTAGTCGTTGTATTGCCACTCGTAGTCGTCAAAGAAGATGATGATGACGACGCCTGGCCTGGTGGTTGAGGTGGTGGAACTGAGGGCACCGAAGGCGATGAGATTATGCCCGTGCTGTCGCCTTTGAAGAACAGCTCGCGCTTCGCCTGTATCTGTGTTTAAAACACAAACAGAAAGCAAAAACAAAACAATAGAGAGACAATGAACGAAAAATTAAAATTATTTAAAAAAAAAATTTTTTTTTTTTTTACTTTTGTTCAATTATTCTTCTGCTTGGAAATTTATTTTTGTTCTTGTTTCTTTTTCTTTTTTTTTTTCTTTTCCGTCTTTTTCTTTATCTAATAATTTCTCACAAACGCATAATATTAACATCCCCCACCCTCTATACAACACCTGAATCCTTCGGAACCTTCGAAAAGCTCGAGACCAATAAGATATATGCCAAGGACGAGAAGAGCCCGTTGAACGACGAGGACGTGTCTCGTCGCTTTTAGAGTTTGTATTATATGAGCGTATATCTGACTGCTCCATTGACCCGTTGAACTAGGAGAAACAAACTATTGCTAGATGGTATGTTCTCTCTCTCTCTCTCTCTCTCTCTCTCTCTCTCTCTCTCTCTCTCTCTCTCTCTCTCTCTTTTCTATCTCTTTCTCTATTTCTTAATACGGACGCGGCGGACGGATACGTGCGTTGTGCGTTCTCAGGAAAGTACGCGACACACGACTGACATCGAGAGTATGTATACATATGTACGTGTACTTACATTGTGGTATAATATGGAATTATATCATGTATAACGTGTATACGGAGCGTTTCTACCAGAGAGACTACGAACAATAGGCGTCCTTTGTTACAGGATAGGCTACGTCCTTGTTTATAGTTTTTCTCCCACAGAAATTATCATTAAGATTTCGTCATCGGAATAAATGAAAAGAATAATGACGAATGATATTAGATTGATAGATGGTTAAAAAAAAAAAAAAAGGAAAAAAGGAAAAAAGAAAACAAAATATATGACGTCAAACTTACCGTCGTCATATTTGTTTCCTTCTTAAGATAAGAAGAAAAAAAAAAAAACAAGAAAATCGAAGGATGAAAAAGTAAGCCGAACGAAATTACAGAACCTAGATCGATCCGTGAAAGGGAAAAGGAGAAAAAGAGAGAAAAATATAATGGCGACGAACTAACTTGCCGTTATGTTCCTTTTTTCTTAAGAAGAAAAAAGAAAAAGAAATCAAAAGTATGGAAGTAAGCCGAATGAAATTAAAGTTGGATCGATCTTCGTAGAAAGAATAGAAAAAAAAAAGAAAAAAAAAAAAAAAAAAAAATTAAACTGCGTCCGTGTTACTTGCCTTCCTAAAAAGATAACGAAAAGTGAATAAAAGTAGATCGAACGAAATTAAAGTTGATCTTTGCACAAAAAATAAAAAGAAAGAAAAAAGAGAAAAAAGGGGGAAAAAACAGAAAGAAGAGAAATAAATAAATAATTACCAAATAATGACGATACATGATACAAAATACAATACATGACGAACTTGTCGCCATGTTTCTTTTCTTTCTAACTGCGATGACGAACTTGCCGCCATATTTCTTCCTAAGAAGGAGGAAAAAAAAAAGAAAAAGAAAAAGATAAAGAAAAAGAAAAAAAAAGAGAGAGAGAAAGAACCGGAAGTACACAAGTACACCGAGAAAGATTATGGTTCGATCGATAATTAAAAAAACAAGCGGAGGAAGGGGAAAAAAGAAAAAGAAAAAGAAAAAAGAAAAGAGGTTATCGCATAAATTGAGCCGAGTGAATATGGCGAATAGTCAGGTACGATCGATATGCTTTGCATGCAGGTTTCCAAAGCTAGAGCAGCATACTTCAATACGGTGCTACTAGTGGTACCGCAGTGTCTTATGAACTTCCGGCCGGAAGTCGTGTACTATTGCCGTGTCCAGGGGACCGAATATAAATCGTGATTATCGAACGAGAACGAAACCAATCAATGATTTTCTTCATCTTGAAAAAAAAAGAAAAAAAAAAATAAATAAAAAAAATAAAATAAAAAAATAAAGCAGTCAATTCAAATTCGAACTCTCTTTGAACATTATATCTATCGGTGAAATCGAATAATTAATCCATAGGCGAGTATCGTATTAAACGATATCGCTCTCTAGTCGCTATTAAATCACCGTCTAACGTCTCTAATTACTAAAGATACATGTACGTTACGAATAAGCTGATGGTAATAGTTCATCGTTAATTTGTTACAATCAATATTATTCGAACAGATGAAAATTTAATCGAATTCATTGGAGGATGTAACAATGGCGTTGTCCTTAGAGATTAGAGTTTTAATGGAAAATTTTACATTGATGAACTCTTCTAATTTTTTATCGCCATGTTGAATGTTTAATTAATGTTTCAAGAAAGAAAAAAAAAATAAATAAAGTCAAATAGAAATTGCAAAAAACTTCATGTTGTTATTTTTATTAATATAATAAATAAAAAATTTATTAGTATTAAAACAAACGACACGTAATATTTCATGTTTCAACAGGATCGTATTTATGCGATAAAATTTCGTTAATTTTTCTATCGCGTTATATGATGTATAACTTTTATAAAAACGATTTGAACAAAAACAATATTCGTCCAAGCCTTTGAAATATTCCCGTCTAAAAATATCTCTTTCTCTATATATATATATCTATCTATCTATCTTTTTTTCTTTGATTCTTTTTATGCGTCTGTTCCGTTTAATTTTATTTAATGGCGACGATTATCGGAAAATTTTCTATGTGAAAACTCACAAAGTTGCTTTTTCTTTCTTCCTTAGTTGCTCACATTATAAAAGTGAACATTCAGTGTCAATGTACGAACGATTGCACGTTTAAAAGCATATCGCGAATAAAACATACGGCCGAGCAACATATATATATATACATACATACATACATACATATATATTTATACATGTTTATATATATATATATATATATATATATATATATATATATATATATTGCTCTATAGTTCGCTAGCTTGCTTTTAAACGTGTCGTACGATTTAATGTACAGAAAAGCAGAGGTTTTGGTTTCGACGTTGATGAAAGTACGCGAAATCTAAAAAACGTAAATTACTCCTTTTCGTTTCGTCGACGACGTGGACCGAATTTTCGCAATATCTAATGACGAAATAAAACTTTTTAATTTTTTTCTCATCCATTTTTTCTTTTTCTTTTTTTAGTCTCAGCAACGAAATAGTAATTTGAAGATTCTTCTTCTTTTTTCCCTTTTAGGTAGCACAGATATATTATTATACAAACGAAATGAAATAAAATGATATGAAATGAAATAAAATGAAATAAAATGAAATTAAGTTTTACGATTTTAACGAATTAAAATTATGTTCGACAGAAATTTAAACATTTCTTTTTTTTTTTTATCCAAGAAAGATTATATAATACAATTGCGGAATTTATAATATGATTTATAATTAATAAACATTGATATTGAAATACATTTGTATATATATGTATTATATGTATATTAACTTTTCGTGATCGTATTTCTTTCAAATCTAATAGTATATTGACTATGAAAAAAATTTGTTCAAGATTATGTGAATACTTTATAACATTTTTACTTGTATGTATTTGTGTGAAATTTTTTATATATATAAAAAGAAAACAAAAGACCAAATAAAATATATACAAATGTATTATGACTTCGAAGTTTGCACTGCATTACGTTCTTACTCTTCACAAAAAAAAGGTTAATGAAATAAAAAAAAAAAAGAAAAAAAAAAAAAAAAAAAAAAAAAAAAAAAAAAAAAGAAAAAAAAAAAAAAGAAAAAAAAAAATAAATAAATAATTGTCATAAAAATCAAGGAAAATAATTCATTCAACAATTTACAACCTAAATATCGATAAAATTGTACGAAATACTTATAATAATAATATCAATAATAATAAGGATAATAATAATAATAATAATAACAATAATGATAATAAAAATAAATAAAGAAAGAAAGAAAGAAAGATTGCACGAGGAGTGTTGAATTTGTCGAGTCTGGGAACGAGAAACGTCGTCGTCTAACTCGAAGAGCGCAACATCGTCGTCAAGCACAGAAGAAACCGGTCCGATGCATATAACACAGAAACTGCTGCACTACACTGCAGTCTCATCCCAAAGTCGTTCCTGAAGATCGAAAGTCGCCAACACAGACACTATTACGACTCCGATTCTGTCGTAAAAATTTATAAAATAATATTTCTCTCTTTCTCTTACTTTCAGTTTTTTTTTCCTTTTCTTTTCTTCTTCTTCTTCTTTTTTTTTTTTTTTATTCTAATGCGTAAACTTTGTACTTTGTACTTTATACACTACATGCCATATAAAACATTATTGACTATACTCAATTTCAATAACGAAAGAAAGAAAAAAAAAAAATAAGCAGACTGGTTCTATTTTATTAATTACGTAACTGGAAAAGTTTAATTTTTCTTTTTATTAATAATTTACTAAATAATTTCTATTTCCATTATTTTCTTTTTTTTTTTTCTTTTATTTCTAACATAATAATAATAATTTTTTGTTAATTACATATAACTTTTACATTGTATACATTTTTTTTTCTGGACAAGAGTTAATAGGAAAAGTTAAAAACGAAGAAAAAAGAAAAAATAAACAAACAAATGCAAAAAAAAAATAATTAAAAAAGAACAGAAGTTCTACTTTAAGAATGGTTCTAATTCCACTTTATTATTAATTATATTGCAAAAATGGAATTAATATATACATAAAAAAAAAAAAAAATATATATATATATATATATATATATATATATATAAAAAGAAAAAAGAGAGAAAAAAATATTCGTAGGAATAATAAATGAATCGGACATTTTGTAAAATTTAATTAAAACTAACCATATGCATACATATATATGTACATACAGTACATATGTATATATGACAATTTTAATAATTGTTATCTCTTTGTCATTAAATATTACACAGCAATACACGTATGTATGTATGTATGTATATATACACACATACACTTGCGACATGAAAGCTTTCAATAAATTTGCTTTAGTTCTTTCCTTTCACCATCCTCACCACTCCCTCCCTCCCTCCCTCCCTCCCTTCCCCCTCTCTCTTGTTCT